TCCAGGTGGCCCCACTGCCCACGGGGGGGGGCAGGGGCGCTGTGGGTGGGTGGGATGTGCGTGACCCGGCCCGGCGGGGGCGGCTCCGTGTGCGCTCCCGGGTGGGCTGCGGTCGGGGCTGCACCGTGGGTGTCCTGCCCGACCGGGGGGGCTGCGGGGAGGGGCTTGGGGGGGTCTGTGTCCCCCCCGCCCCCGTGACGCACCCGGCCTGACGCGCTCGTCACACGAGTGGCCCGCGGTGACACCGGCGACAGGAATGGCCCCGTGACCTGCTGCCTCATCAGTGAAACGAGTTTCGGGAGCCTCAGCCGCCCTCGGGCCCTTTCCCTCGGGTTTTCCCAGGTGATCCCAGGGATCGCCGTGCCCCCATCGCCCCCCACCCCCGGCTCCCAGCTGAGACCTCCCAGCTCGTGTCAGGAGTGTCTGGGCAGACCCGGGGTTGGGGCCAGGCCGGGGGGTCTTTGCTGTGTGTCCCCCCCCTCGGCTGCAGTGGGGGGGTCACAGTCTGGGCCACTCAGAGGGTGTTGCCTCCACCTTGTCCCCTGAGACCCCCAGGATACATCGAGGGGGGGGTACCCACGGTGGGGGGGCTGTGTGGCCTCACCCGGGGCTGTCACATGTTCCCCCCGTGCCCCCCCTGCGGTCACAGCCCCAAAGGAGGGCACAGGGCACATCCCCGAGCCACAGGACACCCTGGGATGGCCACGGTGTCCCAGCCAGGCTGGACGGTCACTGTGTCCCTGCCCGGCCGGACACGGTGTCCAGCTGGGCAGGCTGGTCCTGGCACAGCTCCCGGCCCTGCGTGACACTGCCCACACCTGAGCACACCCCGTGCCCAGCCAGGGGGGTTCTGCCTCCAGGAGGGGGCCTGGGGGTCCCCACCACAATTTCTGCCTCAGTTTCCCCCCAGCCTTTGGGTTCTCAGCCCCCCCTCCCTGTCCCCAAATCCAGCCCCCGGGGGACGCTGAGGGAGAACCCAGGTGCCCCTGTCCAGAGGTGGGAGGGAATTCTCACGGCTCAGCAGTGGGAAGGGATGGGGGTGGGGGGGTTTCCCAGGCTCTCCTTCCCCCCCGTGGGTGGCTGGTCCCGGTTCCTGCAGCCTCGGGGGGCCGTGGTTTCTGTGGGGGTGGGGGGGAAGCTCCATCCCATAACCCCGGGCCAGCCCCCACCCACGGCAGGGGGGCCGTGCCTCAGTTTCCCACGGAGCTTTGGGCAACCCTGGGGGTGTTTTTCCTGGAAAGACCCTTTTCCAGAGAAGGGCGGGGTGGGAATTTCTCCTTCCCCAGCAGCCAGTGCGGGGAGGCCAAATGCGGGTGGGAACCCCCAGCCCTGCACTAAAGGACCCCCCCACAGCGTGCAGAGCCCCGGGGGGAGGGGGGGGGGCTGGAGCCCTCCCCAAAACCCACCCAGGAGCGGCCCATCCCACTCCCCGTGGGAACAGCTCCAGGAGAGCAGAGGAAGAGCAAACACCGGTGACTTCAGATATTTTATTGCAAATAAATTTAAGTCCCTCGCTCAGTATAAGAATAAACTCTGGAAAAGGTTCAGCTCAAGGGTCTCCAAGTGCAAAAGCAGCACCCCCCGGGGAGGGGGGTGCAGGTCCATCTTGTGCAGACGTCGGTAATTCCTTGGAAAAAAAAAGCGCAAGTTTTCGCAACAAAAAAACTCCACCCCTCTGCAAGTCCTCGCTTCCATCGGGTCCCAGCTGCCAAAAATCCTGACAGTCTCCAGCTCTGGGGTCACCCCCCCCGGGCTCTGGGGGTCCCCAGCTCCGGCCCCTGGGCCAGCACAACTCCTCGGCCAGCAGCTCTGGCCACTGTCCCTCTGGGCTCCAGCCAGTGTCCCTCCAGGCCCTGGCCAGTGTCCATCCAGGCTCGGCACGGCTCCCCCTCCATTCCCACCGCTGCGGCCGCGCTCCCCTTCCTCCTCCTCCTCCTCCTCCTTCTGCTCTCCGGTCAAAAAGAAAAATAAAATCGGTGGGTTCTCGGGTTTGTGGGTTGGAACTGGCTCTGTTTTCTCCTTCTTTTTTATCCTGCTGGTTTATGTCGGCTTTTTTTTTTTTTTAAGGGTTTTTTTTTTTTTCCAATCCTTCAGGTCCAGGCCGGGAAGGGGCCGGGGGCTCAGCGCTCCTGCAGACACACGAAGGGCACCCACTGGTTCCTGTCGCGGCTCTCGGCGCAGTAACTCGCCACCTCCGCCAGCCCCTGGCCCTTCCAGGCGTCCGTGTGCGGGTTCTGGGGGAGCAAGGAGCACGAGGTTAGTGCCACCAGCGCCCCGACACGTGGCCCCGGAGCCCCGTCACCCTCCCCGGCGCCTGGCGCGGTCACGGGCGCATCACGCTGCCCTCGCTCACCGTGACCAGGAGGCAGTGCAGGTCCCGCGGCTCGGCCCCCGGCTCGGGCTCGCCCCCGCCCAGGATGGCGGCGAGGCGCTGCATCCCGGACACGCGCAGGATGTGGATGTCGTTGTCGCAGCAGAACGCCTGGATGAGGGTGAAGTGGATCTGCAGGGCGATGTCGCCTTCGTCCTCCTCGTCGGTGGCCAGAACGCACAGCACGACGCTGTCGGGGTCCCTGTGCGGGGCACGGGGGGAGGGGAGGGGGTCAGGACGGCTGTGGATGGTGCGACCCCTCACCCCCGGCGCTGTCACCCCCCCCCCCCCGTGTCACCGGGGTCACCTCACTGTGTGCAACCCCCCAACTCCAGAACTGTCACCCCCAGTGCCACCGGGGTCATCTCACCCCCCACCCCGGAACTGTCGCCCCCCATGTCGTCGGGGGTCTCCCGTGTGTAAATCCCTCCCGGAGCTGTCACCCTCCCGTGTCACCTCCCTGTCGCACTGAGCTGTGGGGGACAGACCCCCCCAAAATGCAGCCTGGAGTCCTGTCTCTACCCCCCACACCCCGTACAACCCCCCTGGCAAGAACCAGCCCTGCACTGGACGGACCCCCACCATGCGAACCGCGCTGGTGCTGCCCGGACCCCCCCGACAGACCCCCCGACAGAGCCGTGTCGCGATACTCACACATTCATGAGCTTGGCGGACTCGTAGACCCCGACCGTGAGCCGGTCCTGCCGCTGCGCCGCCACCAGCACCCGCTCCACCGCCTCGCTCACCGCCTGCATCCTGTCGCGGAGGAACGACAGAGCCGGTGAGCGCCGGCGGCGACAACGACAGACCCCCCCGCACACACACTCCCCAAAAAAACCCCGAGCTTCCCGCGACTTACTTGCTGCTATCGCAAGGCACCAGCTCCTCCAGGGTCATGGTGCAATTGTAATCCCAAGCGAGAGAAGGCAAATTCCAAGAGCAATAATCCCAAGAGCGGCTCTCGCGGAGGTACCGGGTGAGGTATCGAGGAGGTATCGAGGAGATATCGCGG